ATATTGTATTCGACTACTCCTCGGCGTTTTCAACTGGTACATGTCTAAACTTTTCGGCTTACTTCTTCTCCCCAACATTTCCCGCGCAGTCGCAGAGTGCGCTGTTCTTGTTATACCTCTCCAGTTAGTCCTGCCCCAGGCATCTTCTATGGCCCTGATCAGTGAAGTCCTTGTTTATGGCGTCCCTCAGCTCTTGCATGCTGACCACAGGACGCGGGGGGGGGTTCTGCGCGCCACTTCTGGGTGACGTCCTAGCTTAATCACTGATACTTATGCGGCTTTTAACCATTGTTGTGTGATAGAGGTCTTCATCAGATGGCCTGTCAAATTTCAATTGCGCCCAACGTTAATACTGGAACCTTAATTATGATTATCACGGCCCATAGTTGAGCCTCGACAGCGATCGTACCCGCGGCTTTCAGAGGTGCAGACGCGAGCCTACATTCTTAACCACTCGGCTATCCCTACCTCAATATTTTCAGCGGACTTTTTAATAATAATCGGGTCTATTCCAGTTAGGGGGGCATCATGGTGCAGTGACTCCCAAAAAGCTACGGTAACTCCGAGCCAGGGGGAGTGTAGCCAGCCTAGGGGGTGGGGGTGAGGGCAGTCACTTGACATGCGTGAAAAGCTGGAATGTTCGAGTTCACATTAGCTTCGCCGAGAAACTGCATCATGATGCCCCCTAACTGGAATAGACCCCTCTATTTTTTATTATTTTCACATCCACTTACCAAGGCGAATTCATTCCCGTGACAAATTTTTAATTTGAATGACCTTTTATTTTTCAAAGCTGGTATTCAAGGATGCCTTGATTATTGTTCGGTGATTACAACAGGTGTAGCAAATGGAGCGCGTTTCATGCCTGGTGAAAAGTCAAAGTTCCTGGGTGTCCAGGTGCTGGGCATTCATGCGATGATCAATACCTGCCTTTCGTAAGGTGTCCTTCATTTCAATATTTGCTCAGCCTCTCCGTCACATATCACCTTATCGATTTTATGGTATCGACCGGTTCGATCGGTTGGTGATCGCTATCGACCACTGCCACGAACTTTAACATTCTCCTACAGTTTTCTCGTGTTTTTCGTTCCTCCACTATCGTATCACTCGGGATGCAATAAATTCGGCTAGAATTACTCATATATTATTTAGGTCGCCACGACGTGCGGAAAGCTAGACTTCTGTTGGCAGAGGCAGAATGTCTTGCTCCGCTATCTTTATCCTCGATTTGAAAGGAAATGTGAGTCTTTTCCCTTTCCAGTTCATGTATATAATTGAGGGCTCCGTGTTACTGTTACTGTATTTTACTGCGTCGAAAAGCAGGGGTTTCGAAGCCGTTCATTGATTTAGTTAGCGCTTTTAAAAAGTTTTCCTTTGATAGCGAGAGTCCGAGCCTGAACGAGCTTCATGCCCAACTCAGAATGAAGACTTGTTTTTTTTTTGCGTACTCTTTTGGCCTGGCCATTCTTCAATACAGTTCGTTTAGTTGTTCGAAGTATCCACTCGTATCTGGTAGTTGTGGGCTAATAATCCATTTACATCTAATATGTTCTGAAAATTGTTCGAGGTTGGGCCACGGTCGTACTTTGCCATTGTATTGCATTCGTTTGCAGTTTCTGTATGTAATGGATAGGTATTGATCGCAAAACCGCAAGATCCATGGCTGAACTGTATCAACACTAGATGAAGAGTCGCAAAATCAGCAGTTATCGCAGCCTCAGATGTACTGCAAAAAAGAGATGACCATGTCTTTGTTTGCAGTCAGATTGAGCTCTTTTGCGTCCGTATAATCCAAATCCCATTCTGGACACAGAAATGGTCTGCATGGCGTTTTCAAGATACGAAAGGGGTGCAGAATCTGGAGGAAAATGGAAAATACTCACACTTGTTGGGTCTCTCCAACTGTGTCTAACTAAGGCTTAGTGCTGTGTATAACAGAAAAAAAGATGTCAGATGCGGTTCAAGATGCGTTGCCGCTATGATGCCCCGCATCTTGTGATAGCGCCGTCCGATTTCTCACCCTGGTATTATGTATATTTTGTCGCTGATTCTTAATTTTTCTTCCAATCATAAGTCATTGAGAACGGTCTGCGGTGCTAAGCACGTTGGGTGTGCACGCCGACTTTCTTGAGTAGGAGGAACTTCACGGAAAATAAGTGCTTATTCGCTAGGAAGTTCCTCGTTTTCCTAAGGCTTAGCTGTAGTGAAAGGAGGTAGGTAAGCATATTATAGGGATGAGTAATATCAAAGATGGGTGCGCCCACCCGACTCATACAGCAGTCAGCATTCGGCCTTCTTCTTTCGGTGCTCGTATTTCTACGTTTTTTACCTCCTTACAGACCCATACTAGCTCATATTAAACCATATAATCGAGCGCAGCTTTTCGTCGGCCATCATGTCTGGCAACCATTTACCGCCAACTAGTGGTGTTCGATTACACAAACGAAATTTTAATTAATTTGCGTAGATCTTCAGTCGAAATGGCAGATTTGAGTGATTTCGGTCAAACTTTTTGTTCACATATATGTTTTCATTTCTTATTCTGTGGTTTTACCAGAAGTTCCTTGTTAAAATGTGCCCAGAGCAGAGAGTCTAGTTGAATATTCTTGCATTTCATTCAGGTAATCGTATCGCGTAATTACCGTGGGGATGTGGAAATGTCATGCATCGAACGATTCATGCCGTTGCTTGTTGAGAAAGAGGACGAAGGTGTCCACTCACCGGTAATCCAATCCGGTGAAATAAGTTACACCTTCATCAAACACATGAACCTCTATCGTGAGTGTTTCCACTGTAACACGAGAACTTCTTTAAAAACAGTTTGTCAGAGCCTTGTTAGTGCAAGGTAACCCTGCAATTTTTTCCTTGTCCTTTTCTCTCTGTAGGGCCGATGTCATAGTTTGCGAATCGAGCGATTCGCTAGCGAATCGCTGGATCCGAGCGTTGCGCCAGCGAATCGAACGTTGCACCAGCGAATCGAACTTGCACCAGCGAGTCGAACGATGTACCAGCGACTCAATAGTGGCGGGACCCAACGTTTCAAAGGAAGCCCGCCACTTTCAAACAGTGTCACGTGACAGTGGACACTGTTTGAAAGTGGCGGGCTTCCTTTGAACGTTGGGTCCCGCCACTATTGAGTCGCTGGTACATAGTTCGACTCGCTGGCGCAAAGTTCGATTCGCTGGTGCAACGTTCGATTCGCTGGCGCAACGCTCGGATCCAGCGATTCGCTAGCGAATCGCTCGATTCGCAAACTATGACATCGGCCTTGAGGTTGAGGAATATGCGTGTAAGATTGGGTGTTGCATTAGTTGCCCTAACCGTAAGATGTTTCCGTGTTTCATATAATCGAGAACATCTTCTGTTTGTTAAGTGCTGTTTGAATGCCGCAGTTGGTGTTGCAAAAGTTTCATACGAATGCTGAGTTATGGGCAACACTTTGCGCATTGGCGGGAAGTATTGCCCATAACTCATGCGAAATATCTCATTGGAGCGAAAATTTTGCCCATAACTCAGCATTATTGTGAAAAATCGTCGTGAACTTCACTTCAGCTTCATTTTCCTTCCAATAAATTGGTCCGAAGCGTGGATACGCATCCTAATCCGCGCCTATAGTCGATAAAGAAGAGACATATTTCCTTCTGGTGTGCGAGAAAAGTAACAATTAGCTTCATTGTTTGGTTCCAGAACTGAGGCAGCTGCTTCGGCCACTGTTTTGTAGGGTGAAACGAAGGATTGTTTGCTTTTTTTGAGTTTTCGATCAGTTACAACAGTTTTATATGCAATCAATCTGACGGCTCTCTGCTTTACTGTTTATTTTCAGTGGTAAGCATATCGAAGAAGAACATGAATGCGGCCCTTGTTCTCTCGTATCTTTACAAATGTGTCGAGGTAGTCCTTCGAATCATTTTCTCCTTTTTCCTGATTTACTATAATCCTCGATGTCTCATGTTAAGGTGTTTTGTGAATACTTCAAAGATCTAGAAGAGGAATCTGTTCGCGACAATTTTGTTGTAATCTATGAACTTTTCGATGAAATGATGGATTTTGGCTATCCTCAGACAACGGAAAGCAGAATTCTTCAGGAGTGAGTTTCCATCTGCTGCGAGATTCTTTTATTTGTTGAATTATAATCTCATTCCTAGGTACATTACGCAAGAAGGTCATCGATTAGAGATTGCTCCTCGCCCTCCAATGGCCGTGACAAATGCAGTTTCATGGAGATCGGATGGGATCAAGTATCGAAAAAATGAAGTCTTTCTCGATGTCATAGAAAGCGTCAACATGCTGGTGAGCCCAAATACGAAAATTCGCATTTAAGAAATCCGTTTTTCCGATGCGCCGTTCTAAATCTTGATTCTGAAGGCAAATGCTTCCGGGACAGTTCTCCGAAGTGAGATCATTGGCTCTATTCGGATGCGAGTGGTTTTGAGTGGAATGCCAGAACTCCGGCTAGGCTTGAATGATAAAGTAATCTTTGAGCAAGCATCGGCTGGTGCAAGAGGTATGGCGGGATTTCCGTACTATTTTTCTACTGAATGGTATTTTCTATTTTTTTGCAGCAACGTTCTTTCCTAGAGCACTCTTATATAAAAAAAAACAGAAAATTTGGGAGGATTTTTTTGTTTTTTCGCATGGGGATTGATAGGATAAGGCCCTTGATTCTCGAAGTTCTTTGTTCTGAGATGGGATATATGATTAAGGTTTCGGAAGATAAGTGAGTTATCAAGTTGGAGTACACTCTTCTTAAAGTTTATCCTCATTATTCTTTTTTATACTTAGATTGAATGTTTTTAGGTAGTCGAAGTGGAAAAGGAGTGGAACTAGAGGATGTAAAATTCCACCAATGTGTCAGGTTGTCGCGTTTTGAAGCTGAAAGGACTATTTCATTCATTCCACCAGATGGAGAGTTTGAGTTGATGAGTTATCGTCTCACAACACAGGTATGTTGGTTTCTGGTTATCGATGATATACACTGGTATGCAAAACTCAAGGACGAGATAGATGAAGTAACATAACTATAGTTTTGTGGATCGTTAGACGTTTTCTGTCAATTGCTTTCTGTAAAGCTTTGTAGCAGCTCTTTCTATGTGAGGGGTAGGTTCCATAGAGTTATGTTACTCGCCAGTAGCACGTAATGGAAAATGGTAACATCGCCCTGCAGTTTTGCCAACACAAGTTGTTGGTTCGATTTGTTGCGTTACTTGTGCTTGGATTGTTATGCTATTAGCAGGATGGTGGGATACAGTTCAGGATTTTTTGCGTTGAGGCGGCTTATCTCATAGTTATAGTGAATATTGCGTAGAATTAAGTTGACTTCGAAGGGAGCCATGCTCCTGATCCATATCTACCGCTGCCACCAGTTTCACAAAACCCATCGTCTAATTTCGATTCTCTTTGGATCCTTTGCATATTTCTTCCGGTATACGCTTAAGCAAAAGAGGACATCACGATAAGATCGGAGGTCTTCTCTTTCTTTTCGCTCGTGTCAATACCGCGCAGTCGCAGGGTCAGCAGTTTCGTAGACGTCGGCTACTGGTCTATAGGCATCTGTGGCCCGACTGTTAGTTAGGTCTTATTTGTAGACGTCCTCTATGCTACCATTGGGGCTCTACGTGGTTTGCTGGATTCATTTAAAGTCCTGCAGTTCTACCTCCATCGCTGTTCTTATCGGATGATCCTGTGGCCTCCTTAGCACATGCCCATACCATCGCAGACGCTGTTCCCGTACCTTCAGCTGGACAGGGGCAGTCTGCATGACCGCTCTGACATCCTCGTTTCTTACCCTGTCCATTCGCGTCCAGCCGCAGGCCCATCATAGCATCCTCATTTCAGCGCATTGCATCTAGTAGGAAGAGAAACGGACTCACATTCTCCGAGCGCCCTCTAAAACACTGCTCGACGGTAGCGGTCGAACGCCTTCTCCAGGTCGAGGAAGGCTAGGTAGCAGGGTCGGCGCTTTTCTCGATACTTCTCCATCACTTGCCTGGCGATGAAGATTGGCATATGTTTGCGTACTTCCGGGCATGAACCGAACTGTTCCTGGGAGATCGGGACCAGCTCCCGCAGCTTCGAGTCGACCAGTCGCTCGTACAACTTCATGGTATGCGCAGTCAACTTGATCCCGCGGTAGTTGGAGCAGTCCATCGCGTCACCCTTCTGCTTGAAGATGGGGACGATAGTACTTGTTCTCCAGGCATCCGGCATCTTTCCTTCGAATACCTTTTCAGGAAGCGAGGTGAGCCGTACCGTGCTCTCTAAGCGCCTTCCATGCCTCTATTGGTACTCCATCTGGACCAACCGCCTTTCCAACCTTCATCTTCCCAAGTGCACACCGAACCTCATCCTCTGTCCAGAGTGCGATGGGACCAGCTGTGGCCTCTGCCCGTGAGTTGTTCTTGTGGGAAACTCCTCGTTCAGAAGACTGAAGTACTCTTCCCACCTCCTAACTTGGGCTGGCTTCCTCAGGATGGCACCGTTACTGCTCTTCACGCTCTTCACCACCCTGATGTCTTGAGTAGCCCGATGCCGGGCTTTGCCAGTCTGAAGACGAACTTCTCTGCGTTTCTGCTTTCCAACTTCTCGTACAAGGCGTCCATTCCGTGTTCTTCGCCTTGGCAACGGCCACGCTCACACAACCGTCTTTGTTCTTTTCTTTTTGAAGCTTACTTCTCCTTCCAAATAGTGCTCTAGTGCTGCGCACAAGCGCTAAGTAATGCAACTTTGAAAATAGAAATTGATTGGGTGGGTTTCCGTGCTGCTATCTTACGTGTGTATCTTAAGTGAGCAGAACGAAAGATGTTGCAACTTTATTTGGATGGAATTTTCCACGTTTTTCAGGTGAAGCCACTTATTTGGGTCGAGGCTGTTGTCGAAAAGCACACACATTCTAGAGTCGAGTATATGGTTAAGGTATGGTGAAGGTCGTCTTAACGTTTTACAGATTTTTTGTTTATTTCCTTGGTTACAGGTGGAGGTTTCCTTTCTGCTAAAATCAGGTATACTACTAATAGTTGATGTAGTACTTATGTATGCTAACCTTTTTTATGTGATCGTTAAGATTTTGATCTTCAGAAGTTTTCTCGCCACGATTCATGTCTGCATGCGTTTGATCATGCTTTGCGTTACTTAAAAAATTAGTATAGCATGTATGGTTGCATTTCGTCAGCGATTTTTGTGATGCGTATAGAAATCTGTGGGGAATGACTTGCACGAATTGAGATTGATGGACCTCTGTTAGAAGAATGTTCTTTCAGGACGATCGATTTATTGACAGGAAATATACAACCATATTTGTTCTGTAATAGCCGTTGAATGTTCAGGCTAAATCGCAATTCAAACGACAGTCTATTGCCAATCATGTCGAGGTGATCATACCGGTGCCGTCTGACGCAGATTCACCGAAATTCAAGAGCAGCGTCGGCTCGGTCAAATACGTGCCGGAGCTTAACGCGTTTGTATGGACGATTCGCAGTTTTCCAGGTGAGTTTCTGTTAAATTGACAAAGTTCCTGCTTTCATTTTTCCGAACGAATCACGCAGTAGGAATCTTCCTTGTAATTATCCCTCCTAAGAAACTCCGGTTATAACTAAGCATAAAAAGTAGAACCAGTATCCATACCTTCGTTGTTACTATTTTACATGTTGCTCGGATTGCAATTAGGTTTCATTTTTTGTACAAATTTTTGTATCTTCGAAAAACATGCACTCTAATTCGAAGCTTTTCGAACAATTGAACTACGTATAAAGGGCGACGGATATGCTGACTTTCTTTGAAGATTTTCAAAATCTCAATATTTTGCAAATAACGTCGTGCAAAGAACAGCGATTAGGTCCACACTCACCCTGCGTAGCAGTACAAAGCCAACAATAGCGCATGTGCCATGATTGTTCAGTGTGTTCTTGAGAATTCAGAACATTTCTTTTCTGAGAAGAAAATTAGATGAGCTTCATTTCCTTACTCATGGTAGCTTTTATCGTGAAACTCAATCTATTTGGTTGGCAACGTTCAGGTGGTCGTGAATATTTGATGCGTGCTCATTTCTCCTTGCCTTCAATTATGAGCGAAGAGGCAGAAGGGAAGCCTCCCATCCAAGTGAAATTCGAAATTCCTTACTATACCACAAGTGGCCTTCAGGTGCGTTTGTTTTTCAGTTGTTTGTAGGTTCTATACCTCGTTGATGAAGATTTTTTCTCTTGTCGAACAGCCAACAGTTTTGTATGTAGGATAGAGTAACCTGCTAATATCACATTTGCTGTTGGAAGTTTGCGAGAATGGCGCTGGGGCCTTACAAAATGAGTTAATGGTGGCTAATAAGAGCTAATGGACGAGATACCATGCGCATATATCACAACAGGCAACGTGGAGTAGGTGGATCGCGGCTTATCCAAATATGGGTGGTAGTGGAGTATGGAGCAAGAGAGTTTGGGCAACTCTTACGAGGGAGTCCTTGTTCAAGGACTTCATAGGCGGTTTGCTTTGCTTCTTTTTTTCAAATTTCGGTCAACTGTGTATCTACGATTTCATTATGAAGTTTCATTATCGACCGTTTTTACCCCACCAGTTTACCTAGGGTAGTTGCTCCAAAGAGGGCGGGTTCACATTCACATTAATGTAACGGCAAATGTAGGTTTCAACAAGGGAGAGCATAGGGCAACTAACCATAAGTCTCAAGGAACTGATATAGGGTGCTGTCGGTCGGCTCCCTAGTTTTCATAGCGGGGAGCTAGAGCAGTGCGCTCACGTGGGTGAATTAAGCTATCTTTAAGTTCGTCCAGCGCAGAAATTAATGGGGAAAAGGAGGATTCCTTTCAGGGAATTTCAAGCCGTTTCTCTTGATTTCGTTTTCACCCCTGCACTACTTTACCCCTCTACTCTCCCTCTGCAGCGACAATTTCCGTGTATCCACTGCCTTTAAGCAGTAGTAACATGTTTGCGTTACCCTTTTCGGTATGCTAGATCACAAGTAATTGCAGTCATATCAGAAGCGGATTTACGAGCAATGTCAAATACGTTCAGAAGTTGCTTGAATTTAGGTGCGCTATCTGAAAATCATTGAAAAAAGTGGATATCAGGCTATGCCGTGGGTTCGTTATGTGACCCAGAACGGTGACTATCAATTGAGAATGACGTAGATTGCAGCTGTAGCCATAGTTTGTAGTCATTGTTATAGTTATAACTCATTTCCCATAAAAAGGCATGTACAAAATAGCATGTATAAGAAAGGGGCAGGGCTCGTTAGGCTCGTTAGGGGGCAGTCAAGTGTACATTTCACTAGCACTGGATTTATTTACTTGTTCGGATCAACTAGAGAAACGTTCATAAATGGCCCCGTACAGAATGCCTTTTTGTGGGAAATGATATGAAAGAAGCAGCTAATTCTATATCTCTGTAGAAGTATGTTTTATAAACTCCTTTTTCGTGTTTTGCCTAACTTGGTTGTTTTATTCAATGTGATGCCAACAAAATGTGATAGATTATTTTGGCGAATCGCTTTATTGTAAGCAAAAAAAAACTTAGAATTCTATTTGTTAACATAGTCGAGTTTGTGATTAACTTATTATCCTTAAATTTT